ATATAATACATACATACATACATACATACACACACACACACATATACATACACACACACACACACACATACACACACACACACACACACACACACACACACACACATATATATATATATATATATATATATATATATATATGTATATATATACATATATGCATATATATACATATACATATACATATACATATACACCCACACACACACATATATAAACATAGGATATATATATATGTATGCGTGTATGTTTGTTTGTTCGTTTGTTTTCGTGTGTGAGTTGATTTTGTGTATACATATATAGCTCTATATGCATATTTCTTTTTGTCCATGAATTCGTACCTTTTTGCAATGATGTAGCATTAAGACGGTTCGCTTCGTTTTATTGTGCAATTTTGGTAAATGGGTACGGGTTCTACTCTATGGTTTGTGCTACCGGGAAGCTAATATTTCTGGTAGAAATTTGTAAAATAAAAATGCGTACTATCAAGGAAACAGTAGTGTATGCGGTTATACTTGGGATCTGTGATAATTTTGAGCCATGACATTTGTCGAGACTCTCCTTTGTCCGTTGTGATCAGGAGTGCCAATTTTAATTCTAGTAAAACAGAACAACGTCTGTATACCTAGTCGGACATATTACAGGGTTGTGGAATTGTGTGTAGGCAGGATTTCAAGGTGACATTGTTCATTCTAACAATTTTTTTCTCGTTTTTATTTCGTTCTGCAGTTTGTTTCATCCTCAACCACACCTCATTCCTGGATAGTGTGATATACGTTGCCACAACACCTCCGCACATCATCTATAGGAACAAAACGCTGATGATGGCCAGTTTGTTTCGAGTCCCAATTCTAGGTGATTATTTGTAAGACATTTTAGAGAAAATTGTGCGACTTAGGCCATTCGTCCAGATTCTTTTGCTTTTCATGCAATTTTAAATCTGTCGAAACCTTTTATGTAGCATGTGAAACTGAAATTTTATCTTGTCTGCAGTGATCAGTACGTATCCGTCATTTCACGTCAATCATAGTAGGCTATGTTTATATGCTGCTTGCTGGTATGCTTGTGAGTTTCATTTGCTGACATTTGTTACATGACAACCATTTTAAAATCTTCTGAAGTCAAGTTTATGAGGCCAAATCAAGCTATCAGGTTCAGTCCACATTACGATAACGTTTAACTTTAGAACACTGTTGGAAAGGGTCTAGTGGGAAGGGTCTAGCGGTATCATAGCCAATTTGAATCACAAGCATCTGAAGACGCTACTTACCGCGTAATAACATTGTATTTATAGGCCGCATAAGCTCATGGGTCGGGCATTTCCCGGTTCACTTCAAAGCGGGCGATTCGGATGTGGTCGATAGGGTATGTACGTTTATATGTTCCACTAATCGAGAACACCTCAATTTAATACGGCAAATTCACTGTATGTTCGGTGTACTGGTTATGGCGTTATGGTATGTCTTGTTGCCTTCTCTGCTTTCCATAACAATACAAAAGATCTAGTCGCGCTTCAATAAACCGTAACTTCACATTCGTTCAGGGGCTACAAGGAGTTGTGATGGAACAGGTCCATGAATACGTTGAGAGCGGCGGTGGGCTTTGTTTCTATCCTGAAGGAGGGATCAACAAATCACCGTACACGATGCGTAACTGGAGGCGCGGCGCCTTACGCGTGGCAGAAAGGCACGGTATGTGCTATTCACATTTTGAGGACACGGGTGTGTGCATCACTATATTTGAGCAAAAATAGATTTGCGAAGTGCATATATATATATATATATATATATATAATATTACATATATATATATATATATATATATAATAGTATATATGTATATGTATATGTATATGGATATGTACATTTGTATATACATACATACATACATACATACATACATAC